TACATTTAATAAATCTTCTTCGCGTTCACCGGCTTTGAACTGCAGCGAAAAGTTCTGGTTGTTCGTCCATCTCTCTCTAGACTTTAGTCGTGTTCCAGAGAACCTGGGTGTCGCGTGCACATCCAGTTAACATATCTAGCTTATTTTTATGCACACGCACACTATTGGTTCCTTGCCCCTCGGGTAGAGGCACTGCGACTTCGTGGGATGCTTCCAGTTAGTCGACTCTACAAGCTTTTTGGGAAGGCAATGGGTGACAGTGGGTCTTATCTAGTTTTATCTTCCTCACAATAGATCCCCGAAACACACCACAGTGAACATTCATAAATTTCACATCAAATGTGTATATTGATTGATGATACATCACATCTTTTACTAGTCTTTCTTGACTCTTTACTTCGATCTCTTGGTCCACTACACTAAACTAAGACTACTCGCCAGTCCTAAGTCTTGCAGTGATCACTTTGATTGCTGTTTGTTCGTCTTTCAGAAAAAAATATTCAGATCAGTGAATAAATGCAGTTTTCTGTCTTTCCATTTAAAAAACTTACTGATCAAGATTGACTAGTTGCAGCATTCTTGACGAAGCCCAGAAGAGGGAATTGCACCTCGTTTTATCCTAAATGGCTCAGTCTAGCCCCTTTCCAGGAGTGTCAAACAGAACACAAACTTTCTAGCTCCAGTGACGATCCGCAGAGTTCTCCATAATAACTAGACCCATGAAAAGAACCCATGATATTCAGAGCACTAGGCAAACGGCTTGACCACTTCGCCATGCAGCCCCCTCTTGTTTATTGTCTATCACTAATAAGCACAGTATGATCAAGTGAAGTTTTCTTGCTGGCTGGCGTGGATGAACGTCCTAATTCTGGACTATGGTTTTATTTCATAATGTTAGTTTGGATGCTCATCTGATTTACATATCCAGCTTATTTGTATGTAAACTATTGGTTTCTGGCCTCTCACTTTGAACCAAACAACCCCAATTAGACTTTTAGGACATGCAGTGAATCTATTCGCTCCACCCGCCCCCCCCCCCCCCAAAGGAGCCCTGAAACCCACACTAGGAACTGCATGATACAAGAATAGCTTCTTGTCCCACATGTTGTGTTGTCTGGGGTAAAAACTGGTCTAGTGCTTCTCCACAGATGTGACATTCCAATACTGCATACATTAGTGATTTCTAAGCTTGAAGAGGGAGGGGGATATCTGCAACACAGTTCCAGCGAAGAGACACATCTGTGCCTAACTATCAAGTTAAAACTTGCAGCCTTCCAATAAATCCCAAACAACCCATAGATTGTGTTTTTCCTTTGGTGTTCCCTCTATAGATTACAAACTGTGCCTATCTTCATTTTCTCTCTGAAGACTGCTACTTGTTCACTACTGTGAAATTGATAACATTCATTGTCTTTCTTGAGGCCATGATGCTGTCATTCACATTAGGTTATTCACCTGCTTCTTTTTGGAATTATCATCAGCTGTCTGTGTCGGGCTGGGGTAGCTATCCACTTTCTGTTGTCAGACTTTTTATCACCAGGCATGTTCTACTGGATGTCCTGTGTGTTTGACACTGTCTGTGTCGGGCTAGGGTAGCTATCCACTTTCTGTTGTCAGACTGTCGGCCTTTTCATCACCAGGCATGTTCTACTGGATGTCCTGAGTGTTTGACACTGTCTGTGTCGGGCTGGAGTAGCTGTTCACTTTCTGTTGTCAGACTGTCAGACTTTTCATCACCAGGAATGTTCTACTGGATGTCCTGTGTGTTTGACACTGTCTGTGTCAGGCTGGGGTAGCTATCCACTTTCTGTTGTCAGACTGTCAGACTTTTCATCACCAGGCATGTTCTACTGGATGTCCTGAGTGTTTGACACTGTCTGTGTCAGGCTGGGGTAGCTATCCACTTTCTGTTGTCAGACTGTCAGACTTTTCATCACCAGGCATGTTCTACTGGATGTCCTGAGTGTTTGACACTGTCTGTGTCGGGCTGGGGTAGCTATCCACTTTCTGTTGTCAGATTTTTCATCACCAGGCATGTTCTACTGGATGTCCTGTGTGTTCGACACTGTTTGTATTAAGGAACGTGCTCGCCCACACCAGTCAACAAGGCTGATGATGATGAGCTTAAAATGGGTGACAGGAAATGTTCTGAGAAGTAAAGAAGACTGACATCACATTGACCACATCGTCCATAAAGTATGTCAACGGATGGGCTGGGTTCAAATCGTCGCTTAGATTAGGGTTTTTCCTGTTGGTGGCAACAACAGAAATCCTTACCTGTGCAGTCTGTGGCGACAGCACTGGCCATGCGGCCCTAAGTGCTCAGTCTCAAAGACCCCTGCTAAAACCACAGAAGTGGTCAATACAGTCAGACATGATGGTTTATATGTGTTTGTGTGTGTGTGTTGTCATACTCCTGCTGTGCTGTTAGAGCTTATGTGATTTGGATAAATATAATGCGACTGAAATAAAAATGTATAATAAAATGCCTTATTTTTAGGATCGCACAGTTTGTGCTGCGGATGATCACGATAACAAACAATTTACAGACAAAGAGGTGTATCTTGATATGACAAAGGATGGAGATCCACTTGGTCGAATCACTATCCAGCTGTACAGTGATGTTCCTAAAACTTCACAGAATTTCTATGCTCTCACCACTGGTATTTGTGGCTATGGGTACAAGGGCAGCACTTTCCATCGGATCATCCCAGGTTTTATGTGTCAGGGTGGGGATTTCACACATCACAATGGAATGGGTGGAAGAAGCATCTATGGGTCCACTTTCAAGGATGAGAATTTCCTGCACAGGCACACTGGATGTGGCGTAGTATCCATGGCAAACAGTGGCCCTAATACAAACAACTCTCAGTTCTTTATATGCTTTGCTGAAACCAAATGGTTGGATGGCAAGCACGTTGTCTTTGGCAGAGTAATAGATGGACTGGACGTTGTAAAGAGTATAGAAAAATGTGGAACGAACAGTGGAAAACCATTACACAAGATTGTTATTGCGGACTGTGGGGAAGTTGTTAAGACGCATACACATGAAAACTTGTGAAATTTGTCAGTCATTAAAAAGTCCTAGTGTATTTCATTTTTTAAATATGTAATTAAAATATTTGATGTGAAACTTTAAGTTTCTGTCTTAAGTAATTGTTTATATTTTAAATGTTGCAAATCTTCTTTTCGGTTTAATTTCTTATAGCCTGGAGCATGTTGTTTTATTTTATCTTGTTATCAGCGTTTGTGGCTTAGGGTTTAGAAAGGCTGTTCATAATTTTGAAATACCCAGTTTGGTTCAGCTGCAAATAATTTGACAGTAAGCCATTTTGCGCTGATTTCGGCAATGGTGTTGTGAGCAACGCCTGTTCACAGATGAATGCCAAATAATTGAACATCAAGTTGTTTAATAACACCACCAACAACCAACAACACCACTAACAACCAACAAATGCTGGGGTTGGTTAAAAGTGTTGTGAAACCTTTTATCCCAGGTGTCATCTGATGGTGGCCACCAACTTTAGTGAATCTGGGTTTTTTTTACATTGTTGATCACAAATATTCCCCCTTCTGGAGCCCCATTATATGGGAACACAAGAATAGACCCACTGCCCCCACCCCTCCAACAAGCATGTTATAAGAGTTGACCAATTAGGGATTTCCTTTAAAAACGGAGTGCATCTGCCTGAGAGGCAGGGAACCAAAAGTCTGCATACAGATAATCACAAAATGTAAAATGGATGTGCATGTTACATTCTGGAACAAGACTGTGGTCTAAAAGTGGATGACCAACCAGAACTTTCTGCCAGAGTTTACAAAGCAAAAATGAAGATAGCAATACCTATGAAAAGATTGCTTCCCCTTATCCTAGATTAGTGCGCTTTAAATTCAGCATTCTTGGACAATAAAAGAAACACCCTGCGCATGTTTCACTCAATAAAAATCCTTCTAAAGTTGAAAACTGAAGAAAGAAAAATTTAGCGGCCAAATAAGGTGCTATCTAAGCTATATTTCAAAGTGAGAAAGCCTACCCACAGAAGAGACAAGAATCAGCTAGCACATAGGGCACAATCAACATTGTAGGCTAGATAAAACAATGGGTATGAAACCAGGAGTTCTTTAAGTGGGTTGTGCCTGGAAGTGGTATTCTAGAATGATCTGCTACACGCAGTGATCATGATGATGAATTTTCCTCCACTCCAGTTAAACTGCCCTTTTTTTTTTTTAAATTATCAAGCGTACCTGTTTTTATATTTTTCTTATCTTCATATTTTTAGAACACTTAGTTTAGTTGACCTTTGGTTTTGTTTTGTTGTTGTTTATATCATCGTTTTGAACACTTTTAGTTGACTTGCATTTCTTTGTTTATATAATCTTTAGAACATTTTTTTTTGACTTTTGTGTTCATGTTCAGTATTCACAATCATTTGTATTGATGACGACTAATTTCTGAGTCTGCATTACAAAGTGGTTAAGCCGTTTGACTCAGAAGGTTGTTGGGTTTCTGCGTAATTCAGTTCACGTGTGCAGTTTTTACAGACCACACTTTCGATTTTAAGTAAAGTTGTGAAGTTTGTAGTTTGTGTTGCGTTCTTAGCAGGTGGTTTGCCGTACAGCAGAGAGAGACCGAGTCGTATTGGATAACACCTGTGGCAGGGAAATTCAACCTCTCAACTTCAGCCAGATGACAGATACCTTCAAAATAGAAGTTTTGTGTAAATCAAATAATCACACTAATAACACCTGTGATATTTCCTCAACATGAAATACCATCATCGTGTGCCATGCCATGCATCATTGGTGTTTCTGTTTCTCTATAAACCTTGGCAATTGTTGTTCTGCATCATTTATATTTTTATTCCTACATGCCACTGTCTTAAACTATCATGTATCATTCTCCTCGTCTGTCTCTGTACTTTGTGCTGTTGGCCTTTCCTTCTCCTTCGTAGCTTTTACCAGTTGTAAAATCTGAAGAAAATTTCTGGTTGTTTGCCTACTTCTGGATTTTATCTTGTTCTAGAACTTGACCATTGCATGCACATCCATTTTACAGATCTGGTTATTTGAGTGCAGGCTGTTGGTTCCTTGTCCCTCAGGCAGATACACTATGACTTTAAAGGAAACCTTAAGTTTACTATCACGACATGGTTGTTAGGGAGGCAGTGGGTCTATCCCCCCACCAAATGAGACCAAAAACCCACACAAGGAGGCAGGGAAAATGAAATTAGGTCCCCTGCTAAGTCTATCTTAAAGTGAGTACTGGGAAGTGTCCTAGAAAGTAAAGGTGGTCTTGTGCTATTGACCACTCACCTGAATGCAAGTTGGTTTATACAAAAATATTGTTCTATCACCACATATCAAATACACATCGGGGTGGGGTAGTTGTCCTTTACTTCTTGTTCTCTGACTCACTGTGCCCAGATTTCTTCATTGATGCTCCAGTCTCCTGCCAGAGATCATACAAAGAAATCCTCACCTCATTGTACGAAGTCTATAGCAGAGATCTACACTTTACTAGTGTTCTTGTGGTCATCAGTGTTCTACAGAGGCATAAGTGTTCCAGAGAGGCATAAGTAAGCGTTCTAGAGAGGCAAAAGTGTTCCAGAGAGGCATAAGTGTTCTAGTGGTCATCAGTGTTCTAGAGAGGCATAAATGTTCCAGAGAGGCATCAATGTTCCAGAGAGGCATCAATGTTCTAGAGAGGCATAAATATTCCAGAGAGGCATAAATATTCCAGAGAGGCATAAGTGTTCTAGAGAGGCATAAGTGTTCCAGAGAGGCATAAATGTTCTAGAGAGGCATAAATGTTTCAGAGAGGCATAAATGTTCCAGAGAGGCATAAATGTTCCAGAGAGGCATAAATGTTCTAGAGAGGCATAAATGTTCTAGAGAGGCATAAATGTTCTAGAGAGGCATAAATGTTCTAGAGAGGCATAAATGTTCTAGAGAGGCATAAGTGTTCTAGAGAGGCATAACTGGGGAAGACACTAGTTAAGATAATCCAATATACAACCATTGTACATCATCTTGTTAGTTGTAATCTATTTCTATCAGTCTGAAAGATATGTACTTACCTGTTGCTTGTCCATATCGACATCCTAGTATATCAGTCCAACCCATTTGTGCTTCACCCTCCCGTGCAGCAGCCATCTCAGTGCCTCAGTCAGTGCTCACAGTACCCGCTAGGAGTTGACCGGTATATCTTCTTTCTGTGCCCCTTAACCAGTTTCTACTTGTTTGCCCTTGTTTAATACCCGTTTCCAACAGCTGTTTTATTATTTCTGACTCCTTTCCCTACAAGTCTCCAGAAAGCCACACATTCAGTGTGTTTTCCCTGCCCATACTTCTTCCTGCACCAATCACTGCAGACATGGTCAGTCTGTCCAAAAGGTATCAAATGGCAGGTAATGTCATTGGGGTGAAAATGATTAAACCTGTGTATTCTAGGGAAGTTCTTTTTGATTTAACTTTTGCTTTCCCAGAAAATATTACATTTACCTAGTACCTATTTTTGAGTCCATCGCCAGAGATTGTTCAGACAATAAAATGCTGCCTCTTGCTGGGGATTGTACCTAGACCTTGTCATCATAGGCAAGCTGACTAACAACTCTGCCAGTGCTGTCTAGTCTAGTAACAATGCCTAATTGAAATAAAATTTTGTTTTAAATATTATTACCTCCAAGTTCTCATAGCCTTGTAAAACAAAACAAAAAAATTGTCTATGATAGAAAGACTGCAAGGAAGAGAAGACTGGTCACACTGTATTCTGCCAAGAACATACCTTGACCTAAATTGTTAAAGAGGAGTTGTGCTGTCTAATGTGCTAGCAGATTTTCCTGTCAGTCTTGTAATCTTATATTTAACGCTGTGGTTCCGAGAAAGTTAGCTTTTCGACTTTTTTGACGACATAATGTCATAAGGCAGTTGCCAGTTCACCGATAATGATCTGTTTTCATTATTAACCTTTTTTCCAAATTTTTTTTTTATGTTGTATTTTATGAGATGCTTTACAACTGTTTATTTTGCTGACTGAATATATATTATATTTTGATGCGCAGGTTTCTAATGCCGATGAGAGAACACCTTTGTTGGACCCCAGTCACTCAGATCACACACAGCAGATTCAGGGGTAGGTCTGACATTCACTCATGTGTATTTCATAAAACAAATAACTAAATGTCATTTGATTAACCAGTTATGTCATAAGCTTTATATCGTGTGAGGTCCCCTGTGAGGTTGTTGTCTCAGAGTGCACCATTTCAGTGAGAAAGTCAACAAGCCATTTACCCCACACTTTAGGTTCTGGGTTTGTACTGAGTCGGCGTTTTTCTTATCATAAAACTCTAGAGATTATCAGTGTGGCTGTTGAATGTATGCATAGGTTTGACACTCTTAAACAAGTGACCAGTTGTTTGGTGGCTACTTTCTCTTGTTTAGTGAGCATGAGGTGTTTGCCAGTTCTGCACAGTTTTTCTGACAAGGTTGCTTTCAGATCTACTGTCATTATGTCTTAGTCATCAACAGGGCTTCCTACATGTCTAAGTCATTGACAGGGCTTCCTTCAGGTCTAAGTCATTGACAGGGCTTCCTTCAGGTCTAAGTCATTGACAGTGCTTCCTACATGTCTAAGTCATTGACAGGGCTTCCTACAGGTCTAAGTCATTGACAGTGCTTCCTACATGTCTAAGTCATTGACAGGGCTTCCTACATGTCTAAGTCATTGACAGTGCTTCCTACATGTCTAAGTCATTGACAGGGCTTCCTACATGTCTAAGTCATTGACTGTGCTTCCTACATGTCTAAGTCATCAACAGGGCTTCCTACATGTCTAAGTCATTGACAGGGCTTCCTTCAGGTCTAAGTCATTGACAGGGCTTCCTTCGTGTCTAAGTCATTGACAGGGCTTCCTACATGTCTAAGTCATTGACAGTGCTTCCTACATGTGTAAGTCATTGACAGGGCTTCCTTCAGGTCTAAGTCATTGACAGGGCTTCCTACATGTCTAAGTCATTGACAGGGCTTCCTACATGTCTAAGTCATTGACAGGGCTTCCTACATGTCTAAGTCATTGATAGGGCTTCCTACATGTCTAAGTCATTGACAGGGCTTCCTTCGTGTCTAAGTCATTGACAGGGCTTCCTTCAGGTCTAAGTCATTGACAGGGCTTCCTTCAGGTCTAAGTCATTGACAGGGCTTCCTACATGTCTAAGTCATTGACAGGGCTTCCTACATGTCTAAGTCATTGACAGGGCTTCCTACATGTCTAAGTCATTGACAGGGCTTCCTACATGTCTAAGGCATTGACAGGGCTTCCTTCATGTCTAAGTGTCATAGCTTTATGTGGTGCACCTACTTGTGGCAGCCTGGATGCATGTCCAAACCATTTGATTTGTTGTTCCTTGATGTAGTATAGCACTGGCTCTACCCCTTGCTGTTTCCTGATAACATCATTTATGATCATGTCTCTGCATCACAAGGGATAGAACCAACAACCTTAATGTTATTCTTCTCACATTTCAGTGGCAAATCTAATGCTGTCTGGATCATCTGATCAGAATGTCCCAAACTTCCCTGTGTCAGCAAGCATCTCTACAGCCATTACCACCAGCCCTCCCAGTGTCAGCAACCCTCCCTGTGTCCGCAACCCTCCCTCCCTGTGTCAGCAAGCATCTCTACAGCCATTACCACCAGCCCTCCCAGTGTCAGCAACCCTCCCTGTGTCCGCAACCCTCCCTCCCTGTGTCAGCAACCCTCTCTACAGCCATTACCATTAGCCCTCCATGCAGACCTCAGCCTAAACAAATAACTTATTATTTCTGATTCTTCCTTCCAGAGCCCGTACTGGACCGCATCACTCTCAGCGGAATCAAAGAGATGACGAACAGTCCGAGTTCAGCAGAATCCTGAGACAGACAGCAATGTGAGATATTTGCAATATGTCTGCCTAATATGTCAGCATCTGCACCTTATGTGTTATGAACTCAGTTTTATTATTCTGGCATAACGTGTTCGATTTAGTTGCAGGTGATTTGGCATCAGACCACTGTATATTGATTTTGACAATGGGCAGGAGCGTCAACCATTCAGAAGGCTGTGGTGAATTACTGAATGTGAAAGTGTTTAGTAAAACCACAGATATTTCACAAATATTGGGGTCAGTTTGTGGTCTCCTGTAAATGATGTACAACTAACAAATCATCAGTATTGATATTTTGGGCTGAACACTAGCGCCATAAAGACACACATCCACACAGAACTAGCCAGCTGGGAGTCAAACACACATCCACACAGAACTGACCAGTTGGGGGTCAGACATATCCACACAGAATTGACCAGTTGGGAGTCAAACACACATCCACGCAGAACTGACCAGTTAGGGGCAGACACATTAACACAGAACTGACCAGTTGGGGGGCAGACACATTAACACAGAACTGAGCTGACCAGTTGGACTGAGCTGACCAGTTGGGGGTTTCAGTGAGCTCTCACCTACAGCAACATACATCCATGATCCTCAGTTTGTATCTGGACATTACTGCAACAGTGGCACACAACAAGATCACAACTGTGATTGTTTAATATTGTTGTATGAGCGGCAGATAATCCAATCATTACTTTGGTGATCTCTCGGATCTGGAGACTCAGGGTCTAGTCCTCTGTAAAAGAGAGAGACTTTTTACCTGCAGAAGGTGAAATTTTCCACTTCAGTTAGTGTTTGAAATCGACATTTTTCTTGCATAGTTCATGAACAGGATAGTGAGCATGAGATTTTTGCCAGGTCTGCACAGTTTATCTTGTAAGGTTGCTTTCATTGACTAGATTTTTTTAAATGTTTGTGAAGACACAAACTTTTTCTGTGGAATTGCAGTAGTGCAGTAACTAGCCTATTTGGCTGCCGGCGAGGAGATCCTAGGTTCAAGTCTCCTTTGAGACAGATGTTCAGGGCTCCTAAACTTATCCAGTGTTAAAAAAGATTTGCAAACGATAGACAAGAGAAGAGATAAAAAATAGTAAGAAAAATAGAAAATGTATGTCATCTTTACAAAATAATTTACAACAGAGGACGTTGCTGTAATTAACCTTCATCAGCAGAATAACAACAAGAAGCAGAACACAACACACAGGTGATTGAAATTACTGCATTCAGATGTGAAGTAGACTGACAAAACAAATTATTAATAAATAACAAAATTGTACAGATTATATCAAACTTACCTGGACTGCTCTGAATATGATGTGGAATAGAAATGAAGCAGGTATCACTTTTATAGCTGAGAGAGAAAGCCAAACAAGGAAAACCTTATCAGTGACAGTAAGGTGATGATATTATAGGTGCCATGAAATGTTCTGAAAAGTCAGGCTGACACGGCTGATATTTCCCATGCTACCTGCCAGGTGTGATTTGTTTAAAACATGAGACCAGCACTTTATGCTCAGTACACATCAAGGCATTTTTTTTTTTAAACCTGTTCCACACCACTGTAGAATCAGGACACCTTGCCATGAGAAAAGGATGCTAAGTTCATCAACACAGAAAATACAAACTATTATGTAAGAACATTTTAGCACTTCCTGTTCACGTAGAGGATGTCTGTTATATTATCTTTTGAAGATCTGTGTTTTATTTGTTTGCAGAAATGTTATTGATGTCACATCAACGGAAACGCACAACTTAGAGCAAGGGGAATTGCAAGACAGAGCCACACAGTATAGGTATTGTACTTTTTTCAGCCATTGGTACTGTCATTACATTTGTTGTATTTTGCCATTTCTGTCAGGGTTAGTAAATTGTTTGTGAGTAGCAATCGTATCCACATTTGATGACGGGTCGCAGGAGTTAGGTCTAAATATTTCTAATGGAAGACAAAAATAATGGGAATAAATGAAGTAAAGGATAACATGATCTCTATTGGTGTAACCTTATATCAAGTGCAGTCATGCACATATATTTAGTGAATGGATGAGTCCATCAGTCAGACAAGGATTGACATCATTGCACTCAGGACATTCCCACACATGCTTCATCCCCTCCTTCAGGAGCCAGCCAAGAGTCGACAGTCTAATACTCTATCTTTGTTGGCCATTGAAGAAGGTATCAGACTCAACGCACACACTCATTTGCTCCGGCGATAATTCTTCTGAGTAGTTTATGAATGAATCGAATATTAAACAACCATTGTTGAACAGGTGGAAATATTACAGGAAGAATATAACAGAGAAGACTGGTTTTCATAGCACCAGAAAATTTGTTGTCAAAAGAAATTAATTCTAATACTTGTTAAAAATATTTAACTGTAACCTTATATAAAAATGCTATATGATTTGAAATTTATAGAACAGGTAAAATATTACATAATAAACTACTGACATTCATTAACTGACGTCTGTACAGAATAGGAGGGTATTAATAATGTGACAGAATAATGCAGAGATTATAGAAAGCACTAACATTCTAATGAATGGGGTTAAGGAAGAGTTGCTGGCAACTAAAGAGGGTACACACAGAAGAAAATTGAAGACAGCAGTGAATAAAATGTGGAAGACATGAGAGCAAGTTGCATCATGTAGCAGAGGATAGGACTGCTTGGCTCATGATCATGGAGGTCCTGTGTGGAATCAAGCACTACAGAAGATATACAGGATCAGGCAACAGAGAGTTTTGGTGTAGGTAGGTGCTTTGCCAGCTTCCAGCATCACTGAAGGGGGAGCTTTAGGTTATAATTGTGACTAGGTTATGTACGCCATATAAAAATAGCTTAGAATTGCATGCCACCAAAAGTCTTGAAAAGGTCTCCTGCAGTGTTGATCCGATCAGAGGAGACAGACCCAAAAAATGACCCGACAGGGGATAAAGTTATCTACCAGCCAGACAGTGGGCAACTTGGTCGCAGATGAAGAGGTATTGGAGAGTCATGATTGATGTGTCTGTTCCAGAGCAGGCTTCATCTACATATACTTTATCAACCCTTTTCTTTTCAATCAGGGCCCCAGACCTCTATTATCGGTTTAGTCAATATGACATTCAATTTAACAAACATATTTTTCAGAAACTTTAAATGAGTCATATGTCATTAATTATGAGATAATCTTCACTTTTTTTATATCAAAGCTTAAAATATTTTCTTTTTTTTTCTCTTTAGCAATCGGTTAAATATGGTCTTGGCCGGTTCCAGAAGAACTCTCATATACAAGCCAAACTTACCGGCTGTAATCACCTCTCCTCAAATGACATTATCGGCTCCTCTAGTCTCATTAGCCGATGTTCGCATGGTAAATATGCATATGTTGTATGCTCTGTGTTTGAAACTGTCAGATTACCATTTTGATGAAGAATCAACGTTGTTGCTTATGGGACAAGCAAGTGAACTCAGTCTTCTCTCAGGAGAGGGCCCCTGAAGTCATAAACCGGGTCACCCACTGATCAACAAATACACCTGGTCTCCCACTGATCAACAAATACACCTGGTCTCCCACTGGTCAACAAATACACCTGGTCTCCCACTGATCAACAAATACACCTGGTCTCCCACTGATCAACAAATACACCTGGTCTCCCACTGATCAACAAATACACCTGGTCTCCCACTGATCAACAAATACACCTGGTCTCCCACTGATCAACAAATACACCTGGTCTCCCACTGATCAACAAATACACCTGGTCTCCCACTGATCAACAAATACACCGGGTCTCCCACTGATCAACAAATACACTGGGTCACCCACTGATCAACAAATACACCGGGTCTCCCACTGATCAACAAATACACTGGGTCACCCACTGATCAACAAATACACTGGGTCACCCACTGATCAACAAATACACCAGGTCTCCCACTGATCAACAAATACACCTGGTCTCCCACTGATCAACAAATACACCAGGTCTCCCACTGATCAACAAATACACCTGGTCTCCCACTGGTCAACAAATACACTGGGTCACCCACTGATCAACAAATACACCAGGTCTCCCACTGATCAACAAATACACCAGGTCTCCCACTGATCAACAAATACACCAGGTCTCCCACTGGTCAACAAATACACCGGGTCACCCACTGATCAACAAATACACTGGGTCACCCACTGATCAACAAATACACTGGGTCACCCACTGATCAACAAATACACCTGGTCTCCCACTGATCAACAAATACACCTTCTCCACTTACGACCAAAATATTAAATAAAGAAAGATGGCAACATTGGTAGGATCAGAAAGTTCCCATAGCTAGTGCCCACAGTGAGCATAAATGCCTAGTGTGTACACAGATGCCTAGTGTGTACACAGATGCCTAGTGTGTACAGAGATCCCTCATGTGTACACAGATGCCTAGTGTGTACAGAGATCTCTCATGTGTACACAGATGCCTAGTGTGTACAGAGATGCCTAATGTATACAGAGATGCCTAGTTTGTACAGAGATCCCTCATGTGTACACAGCTGCCTAGTGTGTACAGAGATCTCTCGTGTACACAGATGCCTAGTGTGTACAGAGATGCCTAATGTATACAGAGATGCCTAGTGTGTACAGAGATGCCTAATGTATACAGAGATGCCTAGTGTGTACACAGATGCCTAGTGTGTACACAGATGCCTAGTGTGTACACAGATGCCTAGTGTGTACACAGATGCCCAGTGTGTACACAGATGCCTAGATATATACAATAATTATACATATATAGCTTGAATTTGTGTGTTTTATTAACAATTTTTTTAGGACCTGTTTGAATGAAAATACAGTTGAAAATATAAATCTGACTTTTCAACAAGTTTGACTTACGACCTGTTAGAGTAAACATGAACTTGGCAGCAAGTCGATGAGACCCTGTACAATAATGTATATATCTGGACCTTATCTGGCCTTATGTAATAAATTCTACACATTTGTAGACATTAACACTTCAAGATGACCAGATTGAATTAAAACATGCCCAAAAGCATAACAGATGATTTCACTCATTCATTTTGCAAACACTACTGGCATAGCCAGGTTTCTCAGAAAAGGTTGGCAGCTTGTCCAGACATTCGCTTGCTTCAATGAGACATTCAGTTTACATTTACACTCCAAGCTCCATAGGACCAGACTCTCACAGGGTTGAAACCAGACTGAGGACCAGACTCTCACACGGTTGAAACCAGACTGAGGATCAGACTCTCACACGGTTGAAACCAGACTGAGGACCGGACTCTCACACGGTTGAAACCAGACTGAGGACCGGACTCTCACACGGTTGAAACCAGACTGAGGACCAGACTCTCACACGGTTGAAACCAGACTGAGGACCAGACTCTCACACGGTTGCAACCAGACTGAGGACCAGACTCTCACACGGTTGAAACCAGACTGAGGACCAGACTCTCACACGGTTGAAACCAGACTGAGGACCAGACTCTCACACGGTTGAAAACAGACTGAGAATGACTTGCTGTGTGTCTAAACAGTCTGTTGATTCCCCATGCATTCTGAAGTTCACTCAAACTTTCACATTACATGGCATCCATCATCCCATCTGCATGCATGTCTTGAGTTAGTATAGCCCACACGATTCCCTCACTCATGTATTATGATTAGTGGTTAATGTCATCTATTCGACTTCTTGCAGATAATTTGTGTTAAGTGGTAAATGTCCCAATTTTCTTACAACTACACACTGTCATTTTCCTACACCGACTTGACTACACACTGTCATTTTCCTACACCAACTTGACTGCACACTGTCATTTTCCTACACCGATTTGACTACACACTGTCATTTTCCTACACCGACCTGACTACCCACTGTCATTTCCCTACATTGACTTGACTACACACTGTCATTTTCCTACATCGACCTGACTACACACTGTCATTTTCCTACACCGACTTAACTACACACGGACTAGACTTACTTAGTCGCTCCTCTTCTACCTTGGGGTGTAGAGGTTTGCCAGAGAGATCGCCAGACGTCTCTATCAGCAGTTTTTTTTTTCTGGCTTTGTTCCATTCCAGTCCTCTGTCAGTTAGGGACTGTCGGATGTTGTCTTCCCAGCGCACCCTGGGTCGTCCTGGAGGTCTGGTTCCCTGGTTCTTAGCCACCCATGCCTGCCATGGTGGCCGATTTTCTCCCCTTCTGCATACATGTCCAAACCATCGTAATTGTGACTGATCCACTCGGGTTTGTAAGGACTGGGTATCAAGATCTTGACGTATTGTCTGGTTGCGGACTTTGTCCCTTCTTGTCACTTGGACCACCTTTCTCAGATATCTCATTTCCGAGGCCTGCAGCTGGCTTCTGTGAGCCCATGACTCACACCCATAGGTCAGGACTGGTACATAGGTAGAGCGGTAAACAGCTATTTTCGTCCTCTTGCCAATTTCTCTTTTGCTAAGAAACCCTCGGTTTATGGCCTGGAAGAGTCTCCCAGCAGCTGCTTTTCGTGTAGCCAGCTCGGTCTTAATGCCTCCATTTTGGTCTAGTACAACTCCAAGGTATTTGAACTGGTTAACCTGCTCCAACGCTTACTGCCCCATCATGATCTGGTGTTTCTTCTCCTCTCTTGAGATCACCATGGTTTTAGTTTTAGAGATACTGATGGTCATCCCTCTCTTTTCAAGCTCTTCCTTCCAGACAAGTAAGTTGGACTGAAGGTGTGCCTCTGATTTAGCTATCAGGGCCACATCATCTGCAAATGCCAGCTCTGATATACAGACTGGTCTCATCTTCCAGTACCCTACTGAGTACTTCTTTGTCTTCTCCTTACAGGTCTTGATGACATCATCCATCATAAGAATGAAGAGGTAAGGTGAGAGAATATCACCTTGTCTAACACCGCTGGTGGTCTTAAATTCTTCTGACCTTTGGTCTGCTGTTCTTACATAATCTCTGCAGCTTTTGTAGAAACTCTGTATTGCACTGATCAGGGTTGCTGGAATGTTTTTCCCCCGCCAAGCAGCCCCAGAGCTTGTTCCAGGGTACTTTGTCAAATGCCTTTTCAAGATCCAAAAAACATAGGTGCATTTCACTCTTAAATTCAAGCGTTTTTTCACTCATCTGTCTCAGTGTGAAGATAAGGTCTTGAGTACTTCGGTTTGCTCTGAAGCCACATTGGGCCTCGTCCAGCTGTGGCTCTACCAGACTTCTAAGTCTCTGCTCGAGAATTCTAGAGTAACTTTTACCAGGAACGCTGAGGAGGGATACACCTCTGTGGTTTTCACATTGTCTGTTATCACCTTTTTTAAATATAGGCATAATGATGGCAATCTCCCAATCTTTTGGTATAGTTTTACTACACCAGGCTGCCTGCAGAACCTTCAGTAGAAGGCGCTCACCTGCGACACCCATATATTTGACCATCTCTGGTGTTATACCATCATGACCTGCTGCTTTTCCCAGCTTAATCTTCTCAATAGCTGCCTTCAACTCTACCATCCTAGATGATTTCCTTCTCAGCAGTGAGGTCCATTATTTCTGGGTCATGACTTCCCTCAACGCCGAGGAGCTCTGAGAAGTATTCTTTCCATCTGCCCATGATATTATCTGTAGAAGTAAGCAGACCCCCTTCCTTGTCTTTTATGAATTTCAGTGGGCACTCTTTCTCCTTCCTCATGTTCTTGAGGGTCTACCGACTAGACTACAGTTATTTTCTCTAGAGCAACTGACACGTGTCTATACGGACTGATCCACAGATTACAAACATCAGTGAGAAGCTAGCGGCTGCTGCCAGGGACATCAAGATCCAGCACAAGGAGAGTCTGGTGGTGGCCTTCGCTGTTCCGTGATTGGCAGACACCCAGGTTGATGTTTGGCTGTGTGGATGTGATTGGCAGACACCCAGGTTGATGCTTGGCTGTGTCGTTGTGATTGGCAGACACCCAGGTTTGATGCTTGGCTGTGTCGTTGTGATTGGCAGACACCCAGGTTTGATGCTAGGCTGTGTGGATGTGATTGGCAGACACCCAGGTTGATGCTTGGCTGTGTCGTTGTGATTGGCAGACACCCAGGTTTGATGCTAGGCTGTGTGGAAATGTTTGTGACATGTACATAATGGATGCTTGCAAGAGTTGTTATTATATTTCTGAAAGAATATGGCGTTTTTATATGTTTATACTAGATATTGATTGATACAGTCCTGCCTATGCTTTTTCTTTTTGCTTTTTTTATTTAATTTACCTTTTTTTTTTTTTTCAATTACCATTCTCTATTTTTTTTTTTTTACGATAAGTTGTGACCAAAAGACCAAGGCCGTGTATAGATTTTGTCCGGCAGATTATGTTGAGATTATCACGATGACCAAATGTGAGACATTTTTCTCTAAGCTGTTGTTTTTATTTATATTGTTTGTTATGGATTGCATCACAGACAGCTATATCTTGTTTTTAAAATGTTTGAGACATTTTTTTTATTATGCCTACACTTGTGGTTTTTAAAATGTGTCAGGGGTTGCCAGAAAAAATGTCTTTTCAATATTCATTGGCACTACACTAAAATCACCTACATTTCGGAAAAAAAAAAAAATCACATGTGAACTTTGAGATCTCTGAAGAATTGTGTAGGTGCATGTAAGTAATGCTTCATGTTTTCTGAAGCACAGATTCATACGAGTGTGCCTCTGGCACATTGTAAAGGGACAGACAGCAGTCCTGAAAATGCACCTGGATGAAAATTGCCACAGCTTCACATAGTGAGACTTTGGCATGTTGCCAGTGAATATGTAGGGAATTCATTCTAATACAAGTCATAAAACATATGCAGGTTTGTTGGAGCTTGGCAGTGTAAACATATCTGGGGGATTACTATAAAACTATGTTGTATGAACATGTCATGGGTTTAATTGGCCCCTGATATGTGGGTTGATATTATAAACATAATTTATAAGATACCAAAAACACTGAACACATTCTATATGTTTCATAAAGTGCTGTTTAAATACACACAAAGTATGCACTTCAGTATATGTATATAAATATATATGTATATGAATGATTTAGAGTTAAAAGTCTATGGTTTTCATTACTACTTGTCATAAGATACTCAGATCCGTGTGAGTAACTCATTATCTGTGGTGTCATATGTAGCCACAAGTTAAAAAAATATGGCCGAAGTTCTGTGGAATCGGCAGAACTGCTGTTAATGACTGCCTCCCATTTCAACTTACAGTTAGCAGGCATCCACGGATCTGCATTAGCTACCCTTCTTACATTTGACCGTGGACTCTAGTCTGTGATCAAGGCTCATGACGCCGCGCAGGGCATGTATTAAAAGTTGGAATCACTTTGAACAAAAACTGTGGTGTGTCTCACAATCTCTGTACTTTATGGGATGCGCCAACATATACAAGACAACTTTTTGTGCAATATACTATGTCCTCATTGTGTAACTCACAGTTTTAGCATCTACAAATTGTTGTCAGCAAACTTCTTATTCTTAACTTTCATCCGCTGTAAACTGGCGGAAAGTTCAGGTTGTTCCACTTCTGGACTTTGGTCTTGGTCCAGAACTCGAGTTTTGCATGCACATCTGTTTTATAGATTGGCTTACTCATATGCAGACTGTTGGTTCGTTCCCCGTCAGGCAGATGCACTCTGATTTTAAAAGAAACACTCCTAATTAGTTGACTTTAACTCCTCTGTTGGTGTAAATCAGAGAGCAGCAACAAGAAGTTGACTTTTACTACATGCTTGTTTGGGGGTAGTGAGGCCCCCCCCCCTCCCCCACACTGGGAGTTGTCAGTATTAACCTTTTTATTGATTAAATATAACCAACATTGATTCTGAATGAAATTCAAGTCAGCTGATTTTTATGAGGTGATACGTTGTCTACTATGTAGAATTGTTGGTGTTCATGGGTGCATTTGTTTCTGTGCAGACAGCAGGTAAGACCTAACTATTTCGGTGCCAGGGACAGCATTAGGGGCTGATTGATAACCAGTTTAACAGATATCCCCGAGGATCATCGCTGAAGCTACAGAGTTCTTGCTTATTGCAATGCTCTCCACAGACAACCAGCCATTCCGCAACGAGAGGCCAAGCTGCAGTCTCATGTTAAACTTTGGTACCGGAACAGTTGTTACCTTAAGTGTAGACTGCATACAGATGACGAGGAAGGAACTTTTTTTTATCAAGGAAATATGTAAATAAATTGATTCTTTTTCCTCACTGAGTGGGTTCTGGGGCCCTATTATAGGAGAGGGAAAAAAGAATAGACATACAGCCTACTTAGAAGCATATTGTAGGAGTCAACCAATTAGGAGCTTCCTTTGAAGTCGGAGTGCATCTGCATGAGAGGCAAGGAACCAGCAGTCTCCATACAAATGAGTCATATCTGTAAAACTGATGCACACGTAAAGCTCAGGTTCTGTAACAGGACTGCAGTCCAAAAGTGGATGAACAACTAGAACTTTCCGCCAGAGTTTGCGGCTGGTGAACGCGAAGAAGACGAAGATTTTGTCTCCATCTTTGTTTACTGGCAGAAAGTCCTGGCTTTTTTTTTGTTTGTCCACTTGGACTTTGTCCCAAGGCCTGAGTTCTGCATGTACATCTGTTTTACTGGTTTGTTTGTGTGCAGTTGGTTGTTCCTTGCCTCTCAGGCAGATGCACTCTAACTCAAAGGAAGACATGCTTGTTGAGGGAGGCAGAGGGTCTATTCTTATATTCCCGGGTACCCACATGGAGAAAATAATTCAGGCTAACAACTGGAGACAGTAGAAGTGATGGCAGAGCCAGGCAACAGATAACAGTATTACATTGGCAGACAAATCCATGTATGAGAGGTTGAATGGTTATGTGAGGGGAAAGGTAATGTGAAACAAAACGTGTAGGTTGCGAAAAAGTATTCAGAGAACATACAAGATATCAGATTAATGAACAAATAACTGTCATTATGTATGCATTTATTTAATTGTTGTTGAGCAAAGTCACGTAAGAAAAATGTTCAGTTTTTACGAAACTTACAATTAAACCTTGGGACTAATTGTGTGAAGTTCTATTACATCTTTGTTCCTCTTTCAAGGAAAGTGCTTTATTTATCATTACACGCCCTCAAACTTGCAGCTAAATTCCTCTGTCAGCACGTATATGCAGCAGAACGTCAGGTATGAGGTTAAGCTCGACACATTTGTTTGCCCTAGGATAACGGGCAAAATCAGTGATGCCAGCTGTAAAGACGAGAATTCTCATCATTACCCAACAGCATATCAGACACTTTTTAATGGATTAGGTTATGTTACCGTGCCAAAGTCGGATGTAACCCCATTTTCTGCTGCTGGCAAAAACAAAGAAGCAGTGCCGCACATTTGTCACAATAATGGAGTGAAAAATGTCGTTTTGTTTTTATATTTATGAGGCGTTGGCGGCTGAGGCATTACGAACAGGCTTTGTAATGCCAGGTTGGATCCCAGCTGCGGAAGATTTGTCCTGTGTTGGTTTCGACAATGGTAGCAAGAGCTGACCATTCAGCAAGCAGTGGCAAACTACTGAACGTAAAATTTGCCTAGAAAAACCACAACAGCCAACAAATGCTGGGGTTGAATCTCCAACATCCTGTAAAGGATACACACTTAAAAAAAAAAAAAAAAATTATGGGGCTGGAACGAACTAAAACTACTTTAATTTTTCTGGGAAACATTTCATGATACGAGATAGTTACCACACAAGCTCTGTGATGGAGCAGTTTAAATTCATATATTGAGGTTCCACTATAGTTGACTTCCTGTAGACAGTTTTCATCCTGTTCTCTTGCATGAATCCTGTCTACATGGATCAGTACTCAGTGAGTGATACTTTCAATATCTTGCTAGCCACCTTTACTTCCTAAGTAATTTCCTGGTACCCGTTTAAACTGGTTTGTCCTGGAAGCTCAAGAAATGAAAAAGTGCCACTTCAGGAAAGGAGATTTGAATGACCAGTAGACAAGCCCACTTGCACTACTAATGCTTTTGTGTGTGTGTGTGAGAGGTTATTGCTAAGGCAATGATAGATCACAGACCGTCAACCAAATCCTTATCCTTTGCCCCAGGTACCCACTAGATCATAGGCCCTCAACCAGATTCCTTGCCCCAAGTACCCACTAGATCATAGGCCCTCAACCAGATTCCTTGCCCCAAGTACCCCATAAGAAGTTTCTTTCTCTAGCTTTTGTGCTTTCAAAGCCAGTGTATCCGTTTTCACAGAAGGCTGCTTTTTCCTCACGGCCAAAATACCTTAGCTTTCAAGACAGGATGCTGTTTATGAGCCAGTTACCCTCATTGATCAGATCACGTAGGATGTCAATGTTTTTGTTCTTGGTCTGTGGTAATCTCTGATTTGCCACAGGAAAGATACACATCAGAATGTTTAACTTGCTTCAGTGAACTCAGTGGTCGTGCGCAAAATCCCCTGTGGGCCATAAAATAGGATGTCATCTCAAGGTCCTTAGGTTTCCCCAAAGCTTAGTTGTCAAGTCTACTGGGTGTGGCCACTTGTAGCTTCGCAGCTCTACCAAGAGAGAACAGTCTTGCAAGACGTTCTGGGGCCTGTTCAGCACGAAAACACTGGCAGAGAGAACTGTCTGGCTCAAAGCTAATTTATGAGTGTTAAGTCTGCAGTGTCCAGAGCACAAGCAAACTGACTTGGTCTGTTCTGTTCACGTGTTTTGAAATATGTTTCATGGTTATAACCCGTGTTGGTTTTCGAGTCCGTTTCAGATTTTCTCTTAAGAGATTGGACTTCTGGAAGAGACAGTTGCTGATAGATTGTGGTTTGCTGCTGTCTTCCTTAGTTAAAGCATCAGCACTTCCATTGTT